AGTCATACAGGACCTCATCTTGTATTCTTTCATTTTAATACCTGAACATGTACTTCTAATACAAATTTAGTTTTGCAAAGTTCATGTGTCTTTATGACAAAAAGATTATTGCAATTGCCAATTTTAGGTTGCATCTAGGATTTTCACAATACCAGTTTTTTAGTACATGACCTTAGTGGTCAAAAGAGTTCCCAATAGTAACTTACTTGTATTACCTATAAAATATTTGGAAAAAAGCTATATACTGTATCTTTGAGTGTCATACTTGTGTGAGAGAGTTTGTAACAATAACTGTTCAAAAGAGAGTAAAACAAAAAACAGTTTAATAAAGAATAGTGAAAAGTCACGCAGATGAATTGATTAACAAAAAATCAACAAGGCAATGATTGAAGGGTAGCTCGACTTGACTATCATGTGTGTATTTATAAAATGATATACGGTTATTTATTCATTAAAATATCATCTTCATCTTCTATGCCAGTATATCACGACATTAACATCTTAATAACATTGTCCCCTGCCTCCTCACAGGGTGTCTGCAGATAAGGTGGTGTTGCACACGGGCAAATATGAAGAGTTGATAGTCTGCTCGCACGAGATCGCTGCCAGCACTGCACAGCTGGTCGCTGCCTCGAAGGTAACGGGCTCATTTCCAAGAGAAATTGTGATATTTATTTACATTGTGTAATGAGGCTGTTGGTTTAGTGTCTGACCTTTGACCCTGCTCTCTGTACACTCAGGTTAAGGCAGGCCGCGGCAGTACGAGGCTGTCGGCCCTGCAGCAGGCCTCCCGCCATGTGAACGAGATGGCAGCTAACGTGGTGGGCTCAACAAGGACGGGCCAGGAGCACCTGGAGGAGAAAGGTGAGGACAATTAGATCTGTGAACTAGACGGGTGTAGTATTGCATTCAAAATGTTCCCCAAGTAAAAGAACAAAAGCATTAACATCAAAATATACTTTAATACAAATACTTATTCAGCTTGACAGCCCATTTCAGAATAATATACAGGACATATTGGGTTATGATTGTTGATGTCTATGCATTCATTATGTGTTCACCACTTGCAGCTGGTAAAGGTGGAGTTCATTTTTCCTGCCATGTAGCTTGTGAATTTCACCCAGGGATCTATACAATTAAAAAAAAATACATGATTTTTGTTTTATTCATCTTAATCTGAATCTGTTGACTCTTAAATGTAGGGGAGTAGACCACTGTAGTCTCTGAAGGGCATCTATCTAATAAAACCACTTTTCCTGTGCAGAAACCATGGACTTCTCTGGGATGTCTCTCATCAAGTTGAGGAAAGAAGAAATGGAGTCACAGGTAAGTCATTGGACTTCAGGGGTTTAAAGAGTAGCTGCAAAAAGCTGCAAGTGTATCTGAGCCTTGATTTTGAAACTGTATAGTTTAGATACTGAAAACGTTCAGTCTGCATATATGTTAATAATAAACTTTAATTAAACACACGTCGTGTCATATTCCTGTTACCAATATTTTAATATTGAGCTCAGAAGGATACATTTTAGAAGTGAGTGTGTTTCATTGTCAGTTGCAAAGCTGATCTTAACCTGAGGAATACCAATTGATATTGATTTATCAAGCCATAAATAAAAGAAAATGAAAACACAGTCAAACACTGAAATAATCCTGTAATACCTTGCTATGAACGAGTCGTTAGATCTCAGGTAAGAGCAACTCATTTGACATGGTGGGGTCTGTTTATTTCCCGCCCCTCAGGTCAAAGTGCTGGAGCTGGAAAGTCAGTTGGAGAACGAGCGTCTGCGTCTGGGCGAGCTGAGGAAGAAGCATTACGACGTGGTCGGAGTTCCTTCAGAGCCGGTTTCTGAGGGGAACGGAGAGACCTCCTCGATGGCCTATCCTGCCAACATGTCACCAAAACCCAACAAGCCGGCGCTTTTCAAGAAGCCTGCTTTGGCCCAGAAACCCAACCTCCTACCCAAATCCATGGTGAGGGCTGTGGAGAAAATGCAGTGGTAGATGAGGAAATGGGATACACTTTGATAAACAGGAGTAATCTAGGCACTCCAAAAATAAGTACTAATAATAATACATTCTATTTAAGCGCTTTATCAGGTGCTCAAAAACGCTTTACAGAGGTAAAAAAACAAGATAAGATAAAAAGTCTAAAAAATTGAGCTATAATACCACATTTATTACAAGAACACAACATCAATCACACATTAAAAGTTAGTCTAAAAAGGTGAGTTTTGGTCAGTTTCTTTGAAAGTGGAGAGCAAACATTGTGACTATTCAAAAACCTTTAGTTGTAGTGTCTTAATCATGAAAAAGTCAATAAGCCAAGCACTGACGAAGACCCACAGTATTCAAAACATGTTGGCTTTATTAGGATTTACCCACAAAATGAAAGGTTATGTAATATCCTTCCACCTGACAGATCATCTACGATTGAGTTTACATAGCTATCTGTCTTTCATTAGAAACAGTGGGTGTTTCTCAATGTCGAGGAAGGCTGCTCCAGAGCCAATATTTCAAGCATACTACGTAATCGAGTGCCGCCGAAGGACTGTTCCAATGTCCTGCATACTTGGAATTCTACCGAGGCCGGCGTACTTCGTAGCGAGAAATTTCGAGGCTGCACATGTGTAGACTCCGCGGGCTTAAAATCCCCACAATGCTTTGCGCACGGACCAATTTCCAAATCTTTGGCAGAAATAACGCTCCATTTAACGCACACCTGCAGTTAGCCTGTTCCACAATTCTTTGTTTTCCAAGGCTAGGAAGGATTCTTGCCTCGCTTCTGAAGCAAGTGACTCGGAAGACATGTGCTACCAAGCAAGCGTCCTCGACATTTAGAAACACCCCCTGTGTCGGTATACATGTTTTTAATCTGTCTCTTTTCTTCTGTATGTTTGCAGTTCAAGTAATGCCGGAGCAGAAAAGGAACATTCTCCACTACTGGATGGTTGGATTGCCCAGATGAAGGTCCTCTTGTTGTGAACATACTGTTACTTTTAAGTTGCATGCTGACAATCCTCTGCATCTCACGGTTTTCTCCTTCCTTTATTCATTTGTTTTCCGCCAAAATGGCCCAATGGTGTTTGACCCATGATGCCTGTTAGGAATATGCTGTGTTTCCCCCTGCCCCCTTTGCTCTTTTCCTCTTTTAGAGAATTGATATATGCCATGCAGGCAAAAACCTTTTTTCTTTAAGTATTTGGCATTAATAACAAAACTGTTTCATATTAAAAATGTTAGGCTGTGTCAAAGTATTTCTTTTAGCAGATGATGGTACTGCTGCTGCTTTTAGAATAAAAACCTTTATTTAAAAAATCACAAATTGACAGAATAAGTTCCTCCTGCTTTGGACAACCTTTTTGCACAATATTGTTAATGTTTATTAAAAAGCACATCTAATTTCTCTTTATTTACACTGTATGTTATTTATGCTGTGGTGGGCTGTAAAGGACACTTGGGAATCACATTGTGTGATCTTGCTTCTTGCGTCTATGTTGCTGCAAAAGTTATAAATACCTCTGGGTTTGCCTTCACACTTACTTTTATGTGCAAAAAAGCTTTTTATCGCAACAGTTCAAGATGTAATCTGAGGCCTTGGAATGTACTGTAAAAATGAATGATTGAATCAAAGCTGTCTGACATACAGTCTGTACAGTAGTCTGCCACATGCACCATGTTTCATTTAACTTTAATAATCTACACTCACCTCTTGAATGTCCCTTTATTACAGGAGTACCTGGATACTATGCTAAAGCATTAAGAAAGACTTCATGCTTGCACACAAATATTGGATGTAGGCGTCCTTGATATTCAAACGCTTGTTTTAGGCTAAATGAAGATGTAGGGTTAGTTTATGTACAATATAAAGTTGTCTTTGCCTCCGGGAGCTTTTCATACAGGGTCTTAAATGCATCTTTTATGTTCTGTCCTTTCCTCTGTACGAAATGTCTTTATACACTCAGATCTATTAATATATTTTAGTAAAGATAATAGTGATTTCTCCTTGTAAGAAGTGTAAATGTCAAACAAATGAACAATAAATGTTTGATTTTAATGTCCCATTGTGTTTCCTTGTGTAACCTTTTTTTCCAAGTTGCATGTGTGCAAAGATTTGAGCAACATCACAACATGTAATCACACACAAAGCACAAGAAAATAAAGAAATATTGATGGGTTTCTCCTGTTCTTTTTCAACAATATTAAACAGGGTTTATGCTATTATCTCTAAAATTAAATAAAACTAATTTGTTAGGTTGCTACAATTAACCAAATTCACTTATGTTAATACATACATTATATATAACGTTATAATTGTATCTAAATGTGTTGTATCTATTGCTTTATTATAGGCTGCTTGTAGGCCCGGGTTGTGTTGGGTGTATTTTAAAATTGTAATGGTGTGCATAAAAGGTAATGCACCATTATTACTGACATGCGCACAACGAGTCAACGTGGAGGCACAGGTGTTGCATTCATGAGCCATTGTAAATAGGATAACTATACTATAACGCAACTTCTCAAACTCCTACCGATATGACATTTGCGGATTAGGACTATACAGTAACAGTACCAATATATAGATTATAATGGCAATTTGCTTAATGAGTATTTTTTTGTTGATACAAGTATATTTAGATGCCAATACTTTTGTACTTTTACTTGAGTAACAACAATACTCTGGTTCTTCTACTTTTACTTAAGTACAAGATCTGAGTACTTCTCCAACCTGTCTATCATCTACTTTAGCCAAATCTGCAAACTAAGGAAGATATAAAATACATTTAGTGGAGTAAAAGTACACTATTTACCTCTGAATTGTAGTGGGGTAGAAGTACTAAGTAGCAGAAAATGGGATTACTCAAGTAAAGTATAAATACCTCAACATTGTAGTTAAGTACAGTACTTGAGTAAATCTACTTAGTTACTTTATACCGCTGACTTTAGTACATCTAGCATTTTTGCCGTTTCGCTTCTGACATGTACGAGCTGTCGTGGAGACATTGAATGCAGCGTCAAAAATTCTGCAGCTGCGGACCTTGGCAAAGTTTAAACTGTCAACAAACTGACACAAGTTTTACCGAGTTCAAACAGGCCTCGGCTAGCTTGAGTTTTTCTACACAAAATGTGAGCTTTCTGTGAGTGTCGTAAGAAGAAGACCGATATGTTTAATGTCTGTTCTTAAAACAGAGGACACTCATGGAGACCTGCGGGATAATGTCAGCGCTGGACCGACCCGCGGCGGAGCTGACGGTCATGGATGTGTACGACATAGCGGCGGTGCTGGGACAGGAGTTTGAGCGGATCATCGACAGGTTCGGCTGCGAGTCTCTGGTCGGGCTGGTGCCCAAAGTGGTCCGGGTCCTGGAACTGCTGGAGGCCCAGGTGAGCAGCGGTGCGGCCGGGCAGGAGGCCGAGGAGCTGCGCGGGGAGCTGGACCGACTGAGGAGGGCGAGGAGTGACAGGTCCGAGCAGGAGAGGAAGCAGCAGAAGGTCCGTGCGTGTTTACCTGTCTGTTTAACTGTGTATTTACCTGTTTGTTAACCTGTCTGTTTACCCGTTTGTTTACCTCTCTGTTTACCTCGGTGTTTACCTGTGTGTTAACCTTTCTGTTTACCTGTTTGTTTATCTGTCTGTTTACCTCGGTTGACCTGTGTTTTAACCTTTCTTTGCACGATAATATCCTGCATTATATTTGTTACTGGAAATGTGTATTTGCACATGTATATATATTTGGTATCTTTTCACTTTTTTATGCTATTTTATTTCTATTTTTATTTCTGAAATATATTAGACTGTTTATTTCTGTGTCCTATCCATCTATCTATCTATCTGTCAGTCTATCTATCTATCTATTTATCTGTCTGTCTATCTATCTATCTATCTATCTATCTGTCTGTCGGTCTACCTGTCTGTCTACCTGTCTGTCTACCTGTCTGTGTGCCCCTGTGAGCTTTTGTGTTGGGACCTTTCTCGGTAGAGCACATACTGTATGCGATCATACAGGGTTTGACATTTCAAAAGCTTTTTGTCTGACCAGCAGTCCAAAAATATTAGGCTAGCACTTCAGCTCACTAACTAAATATACTCTCGCAATAGCATTTGATTTAAGTGGGTCAAATTTGAGTTCAAAATTAACAGTTTGATTTGCATTTTTACTATCATGGGCATTATTTATAATTATAAGGAACATGGAAAAGTAATTTTCCTTAAAAGACCAACTCAAATAGTGTGGAAATTAAAATGTATCATGTAAACTGTGACGGTTTGTAAAAATGTATTTACAATATTTTGCATTTCCAATTTTGCATATTGTGACATAATGCACATGCTAAGAAAAGTAATATTGCATTATGGAATGTTCTCTTTGAATAATGCAAACTATCTCAACGGGAATTGAACATGCTATTGTTAGATTACAATTTCACTTTACATTTTCTTTACTTGTTCTGCCCAGGAGTTGGAGCAGGTGGAGGACGTTTGGAGAGGAGAGGTCCAGGACCTGCTCTCTCAGATCAGACAGCTGCAGGCGGAGAACAAGAGGCTGTTAGTGAGCCTCTCTCTCAAAGACTGCCCCCCCGCAGAGGAAGAACTGCAGAAACAGGACGGTGGGTCGTCTGTGGCAACAGCTCTCATCCTTAGGTTCAACTCATGGGTTCTGGGAGGTTTCAAGAGGATTTATGGGATTATACGTGTTTTCCACTTTCTGGTGGAATAATTTAATTGAATGTTTTATTTCCAAATTATATAAATACCCAGATTGGTATCAATACCAATATTTTAAATCTTTACCTGACCAATCCAAAGCAAATACCTTTTTAAAAAAATGTGTTGTGCTATCAGCAACCTCTCAAATAAGGAGATTTTCTTCCTTGTTTTTATATTAAATTAAACTAAATACATTTAAAGATATCATCTTGGACTTTGAGTAGGTATAAAATACATTTGTCTTTATTTGATCAGCATTATATAAAAAGAAAACAAATGTCTGATTAGTCAATACATTTATAAATTAGTGTTGGTTGGAGCCCTACCGATAGACACCTTGAGTGGACAAATCAGTAACAGGATTTTTTCCCCCTGTATGCTAATGATCCTACGTACTAATACTTGTTTCTAGGGCATCTTGAAACAGTTATTAACACATCGATCTGAGAAATGTACCAATGCCATTGAACTGGTGTGTTTGAGGTCTTGCTGTTCACATTGAGCTGTACAGTATCTTGTGATGATACAAAATGAGTTCGGTCTTGGCTGAGAGTTCCAGCTCTGATCTGATTTATATACCAGAGTATGACCTCACTGCAGATTTGGGTTCTGCTGATTAACCATCTGCTGTATATTGCACATATTTAGTGTAGTCACATGGGGGCGTACAGTACATGTTGCATGCTTGCGTGTGAAAAGGAAGCTTTGAAGCGAGGCAGTCTGCAGCTTGTAAAGGAGACTATTTTTGTGTGAGACTTTCATGGTGGCTGCAGCTTTACTTACTGTCAGGGCCACAGAGTACACACACACACACACACACACACACACACACACACACACACACACACACACACACGCTGCTTATAAACACGCACTGAACGGGTGATGCATGATATTATTACTCTGCTCACTCACACATTATTAGAATGGAAATGCAATCATGGAGTGACAGATGCTTTAATATAATAATCTCCTGCTAGATTTGCCTCATTTTGGTACAGACAATTAACTTGCAGAGACTTGAAAGTTAAAGACTTGAAGAATTTGTAATGTCCTGGAAGGTAATGCAATTCCAACAAGGTTCCCTTCTGAAACTCTTATTGATGTAATGTTTGGATACAGATTTGAGGGTTGCCTGCCAAATGCATTGCACTCCGAAATCATTCTCATTGAATATGAACTGAATTATTGAATGTATTCAAAGGGTTGTTTTTTTGGCACAACTGAAAATCATATGGCGAATTGAATGGTAAGAAATGTCTAGTAAATGAATAAACATGAATGAATCAACCTGTGAGATTGCATTGATGTTGCATGTGTGAACTTATGTTATGATATCCACAGGAATGTCAGAGAAGGAGAGGCAGGTGATGAATAAGCTGAAGGACTCGGTGGATAAGCAGAGGGATGAACTCCGGGCTAAAGACCACGAGCTGACACTAAAGAACGAGGATGTGGAGGCGGTGAGGATATAAAAACACATGCAGTATATAAACCGGCACAAACATTCTGCATTAGTTTACAGTTGAAACGCAGTATTTGAAGTCAGATAATATGCTTTTTGAAACTACAGCTCCAGACGCAGCAGCACCGGCTCATAAGAACCAACCAGGACCTCCGTCACAGGATCGGGGTGAGGGAGGCTCAAGGTAAGGCTCTGATCCAGCAGAGGGCCAGGCTGGAGACTGAGGCCCAGACACGGCAGCAGGAGCTGGGGGCGCTGCAGCTGGAGGTCAGCCGGCTGAGGAAGGAGCTCCAGGGATGGGAACTGGAGAGAGAGATACCGGATATTAAAGAAACCTCTCTGACAATATCTGAGTCGTCGCCACCTGAACCTCCACTGATTACGGTGAGACTCATCTTCAGCAGGCTGTAAACCAGGGGTGTCTAATTCATTTGAGTTCAGGGGCCACACACAGTGATCTCAAGTGGGCTGGACCAGTAAAATCATAGCATAAAGACAACTCCAAATTGTTCACTTTGTTTTACTGCAAAAAACTAATTTAATTAACTGTCTTTTTACAAATGTAATTACTTTACATTCATTTCCACATCTGCGTATTAACCCTGACCTCCTGCACTGACACAACACCCTAAAACTAATGTTGGAACTATTAAGGAAGAAGGTTAAGTTTCCCCCTGCCTTGTAAATATATACATACAAAATACATAAAAGTTGTGAAAATTGCAGTTAATATCTTCGCTGTAATTTGTACACTTTGCTGAGCCGTATGTTTGACACACCTGCTCTAAACAATTGCACTTGAATGGCACTCACAGACCTCTGCCAAGGCCAAAGGTGCATTCAAGTGCTCCTTGGATGTTCCCATTTCCCGATTTTGAGAAGTTTTTAAGTAGATTTTTTTGAATTATATTATTCATAGGCAATATTCACTTTGATTGCCATATTTCTGAGGAATAAGAAAGCAACTTTACAGGTCACCAGTTGGGAACTTATTTTTCCAATTATTCCTACAGCACAAGGCGTAGAGCGTCGTATGTAATGGTGTTTCGGTGAATATTGATTGTTTACTGTGTACCGGAATTAGTTTTCGGTCAACTCATCGTGAACTTTACGAAACCGAGATACTTTGGACTACATGAATATCAAATTACGAAAGAAGTTCAAACATAAAAGAACCAACTTACGTGAATGACATTCACCGAAACCTATTTTCGCAGTCCGATTTTACGTTAGCTACATTAACATAAATACAATTGTACCGCTCTATACCGTAAACC